CCACCCACACGATACCCCCTGGGCTGCTTTCACAACCCAAGGGGGGCAGGAGAGAGCAGGTCCTAAGGACCCTGTCCACTTCCTCAGGCCCAACAGGTTCAAACCGTTCCCAGATAACTGGGCAAGACTCCACCCTAGGCATCTCCCACAGACCTGCAGCAAAGCCAGAGTCCAATTGCGAATGAATCTGAGCAATTTTATCCGACAGATGCTGAGCAAATTCCTCTGCATTACCCTGCAAAAGGTTGTCCAGGCCCCCTGTACCCAAAAGGACCCATATCACCAGAAAGAGGGCTACAGGGCAGCAATCTGAGGATGCAATAAGGGCGGAGGAGTGCTGTGTTGCTTTGCCACCCTTACCGCCACTTGGTAGGCCTTAATTGCTCTAACCCGTGTTCAGTTGAGTTTGTCCTTAGATGAGCGCCAGTGATGCTCTACATGTCTCTTCTCTTGTTTCATTTTCCTCAGCTCCTCCGTAAACCACAGGGAGTGACAGGATCCACGGGAAGGGAGAGATCAGATAGGTGTGATCTGATCTGAAGCCTCCGCCGCCCTTTTATTCCAGGCAGCAATCAAGGCTTCAGATGGGCCACGCAGCAGACCAGCAGGAACAGCCCCCAGCTCCCTCTGGAACCCCTCCAGGTCCATCAGCCACCAGGGGTGGATTAATCTAATTTGGTCCCTAGAAAAATGGGAATTTTCTGGGATTCCCATTTTTCTAAGGATATTCCACCACTTATATTTGCTGATTCTTCTTTTGTTGCTTGCCATATTTCTGAATATTTCTGTAAATATTTCCTCAATTCATCATCTGCTACTTCATTTCGGTTTCCTAAAGTGTACATTTTGAATCTGTTTTCCTCTTTACTATTTCCATCTTTGGCTTTCCAGTCTCCAACTAGGAGCAATATATCTAACTTACATGTTGGTCAATTTAAAATTGAACTTGACCACAAAACTCATAAACTTTTTCTTCTCCTGCATCAGTGGTTGAGGCATAAAGTTGAATAATTGTCAAATTAAATAGTTGACTTCAAAATCTACTTTATATTACTTGGTTGTTGCTGAATTGTACCCAAGTATGTGCTTGCTGTATTGTTCTGGACTATGAGAGCAATGCTGTTTCATCTTTGTTGTTCATGTCCTGAATAGTAAACAAGGTATCTCAGGACTGACAGTGTCCATTTTCAGTCCATTCTGATTTGCTGATGCCTAAGATGTCAATTTATAGTAATTTCATTTCATCTTTCAACTGTGTTCAGTTTTCACATGTTCATGCTTCTTATGTTCCATGTTCCTGCTGTAATTTTGTCTCTGCAGCTTCAGATTTTCTTTTCCTGCATGGCTACATCAGCACTAGCTGTCCCAAAGGCCTTAATTTAGCCATGTCATAAATATTATTAATACTCAGAAAGATCCTCAGCATTTCTTCAGTAGCATGTTGAGTGCCATCTAAACTGAGGGGCCTTTTTTTTTGTTTGTGTGTGCCTTCGAGTCAGTTTTGACTCCTGGTGACTGCCTGGACTAGTCCCTACAGTTTTCATAGCAAGATTTTTGAAAAGTGGACTTTCATTGCTTTCTTCCTAGGTCTGAGAAAGAGTGCCTGGCCCAAGGTCACCCAGCTGGCTTTGTGCCTAAGGCAGAACTAGAACTCATAGTCCTCCAGTTTCTGGGCTGATTCCTTAACCACTTTGCCAAACTGGCTCTCAAAGAGCCCATTATCCAGCATTATATCATCGGTTACTTTATCTTGTCTATCAATGTGGTTATCTTGGTAAAATACAGGAGTGCCTTCTGTGCAATATGAAATGATGCCCTTGTCATTGTCACTAAAGTGAACATACATCTCCAGCATCTTTTTATATTGCTGCTGCCCAATACAGGTCCCTGCTTGCTTTAGCTGAGCAGCTGAGATGAACTTCATCCCTTGGTGACCCTACAAGGAGAATACACTTCACTCATCCCTTCCAGAGATATCCACCTAAAGTGTTGAGACATTTATGGAAGCTCTCTCAACCAATACTGGATAGCACAGGAAGGGAAAGATCAGTGATAATTTCTTCTCATTGTTCCTTCACTAGAAATATTACAAAATATTTAATGTGTGAAAAGGAACTCAAAATCCAATCCACTAAATCTCCAAGTTTCACCAGAGAATGCCAGTGTAATAATTTAATAAGCCTTGCAAAAAATCCCTGAAGGCAACAATCTGTTTCCTGTCCATCTGTCTGCACATGGCAGTATTGGTTCTTTAAGCTCTATCAACAGCTTGGTAGCTTGGATACAATTCTTTCTCATCAAAGGCAAGTAGGTGGGTACTTTTTATTTCATAGTGGTAGTTACTATAAATTATATTTGTGCATGTGATTGTACATTTCTGTTTTAAAATTAATTAAAAATTTGTAAGGCAATATGTGCAATCCTACTACAGTAAGTGAGACTTGCTCTTAGATGAATCTAAATGAGTGTAGGCATTTCCATTTTCCTAAAAGCATTTTGGATTTTAGGGGACTCTTGTGCAGTTATCCAGAGTTGAACTCAACCCACTGGTACCTAACTAACTATGTTTTATACAATTATATCGCCAGGTGTCCAGAATCCAACAGGCCAGAAACTGTCCGCTCATGTCCGCTCCCATGTAAGAAAGATTGTGTAGTGACTCCTTTCAGTGAATGGACACGCTGCCCTACTACCTGCCAACATGGTAAGCTGTTCTAGAAGAGTCAAAATCAATCCTCCAGCTATTTCATCCTACCATAACAAATAATAATAAAGTCTTGGATTTGAAACACATTTTGAAATGAAACTTAAAACAGGTACTTGGATCCTGTATATCATGTTTTGGTGCCTGTTGTAAAACTAATGTGTTTGACCTTAAAACTCACCAAAGATTTCACAAGAGTTGTTAAGAGTACAAGGCTTTGGCACATATTGTAATAATAGTTTTTATTAGAGGAATTCACCTAACACATATACTGTATGCTTTTGTTATGTTCCTTCTAGGGATTATCAGTTTGACTTGGTGAGACAGCTTAGTAGTTTTAATGATCCTAAGAGTAACTTAAGTGGGAATGGGAGCTCTAGGTAAGATTCTCCTTTGCAGTAAGATTGAAAGGAGCAGGGCAAAGCTAAGATGAATCCACAGGAGTGAGGGCAGATGAGGGTCTGCAGGCATGAGAGAAGTCAACTCACTGATGACAAGAACCTTCAAAGGCAAATCCAGAAAAAGGCAGTGCCTGAAATATATAAACAGGTTTGCATGTGGAATGATGGACACTCAGGTTAAAAGGCACTCTTACTGTTGCTGAAAAGCAACTAAAACAACAAACTTTGTGAGCAGATCTAGCAGTGACAATATGCTGAGACCAAAGCCACAAAGAATTTGGGTCACTGGTAATGTCAGAAAAGGAATTCCTAGTTTTTTAAGGATATTTACAGTTGGAACATGGAAAGTTTGAAGTTTTCAGAGTAGAAATGAAGCATTCTAAATTGGATGTTTTAGGAATAAGTGATCTCAAGTAGCTGATGGACCACTTTAAATGATATGATTACAGGATATACTGTTCAGGGCATGAGACCATATGAAAGAAAGGAATGGCATTAATACTAAGAAAATGACATAGCTAAGGATGTGCTTGGCTATAACCCAACAAATTATAGGTTCATAGATATTCAAGTCAATGGAACTGAAGTGTATGCACCTAGTACAGATGTGATGGTAGAAGACACTGGGGTATTCCATGGCAAATTGCAAGAGGTGCTAATGCAACATCAAGCAATGATGTAGTACTGCTAATTGGTGATTAGAATTCCAGAGCTGGAGATATGGAGGCTCCTGGAATTACTGTACAGGAAGATTTGATTTAAGTAAAAGCCTCATAGGAAATAGAAGACAAGCCAATCAGCCAAGACACTTCCAGATTAAATTGTGGTATAAACTGTTAATTGTTGGCATCAAATATTTGGTTAAATTTGCAAAATTAAAGAAAGTAGACATGTCAGCAAGATTTGACTTGGAGTCACAGTGTCAGTTCAGTTTAAAGAACAGAACCTGAGGAGATATGCAAAGAGATAATGGGCATCATGAAGACCAACATAGCAAAAAAATCCAAAATTTCAAAGATGAAAAGATCCAAGTGGTTTTCAAAACAACTTGAAAGGATAAGGAGAGACTTGGCTATTGGGCCAGAAAGACATACAGTTGAGTTCAGGCTTCCAGTTCACACAAGAAAGGGCTAGGAAAGATACCTCAAGAATGTAAAAAAATGAGTAAAATAATAAGAACATAAATGGTTAAGAAGATCAAAGAAATCATAGGAAAATGTATAGGTAAGATAGAAATACTCAGTAGTAAACATGGAAAACTTCTAACAGAAGCAAATGAGGCTAAAGGAAAATGGAAAGGTTATACTGAAACTATTTACAAGTGGAATTATAGAATGTTTCTCTACTTAAACATTTTTAGAAAGGGAATATATTCAGGAACCAATTCTATTAGAAAGTGAGATATGAAAGACCAGCTGTCAATAGGAAAGTACACGTGCAAATAAAATAACTGTACTGTTTGAAGCTGCAAAAGAAGAGGCAATTCAAATGTTAACAGCTCTGTGTCACTAACTATAGAATAAGATTGGTGTAGATACACCAAAAAAGGGAAGTTCAGGAGAATGTACAGATTACTGCATCATCATAGTAACTTCTCATGCAAGCAGAGTTTCACTTAAGATCTTACAAAAAAGACAGAGATGCCAAATGAACAGACAGTTATTAAAAAAGGGAGAGAGAAATGCAATCAAAACATTAGCATAAGATGGGTAATGGAGAGAACATAATAATACAAGGTTTATTTTGCTTCATTTGGTGCATTAAGGCCTTTGATTGTGTAGATCAGTGTTTTTCAAACCTGGCAACTCGGAGATATCTTAAAGTTGCCAAGTATGAAAAACATTGGTGTAGATAATGCCTGACATGGAACATATTAAGTCTAAAGGGTGTGCCAGAACACATAATTATTCCTCTGAGGAATCTTTACAATGAATAAGAAGCTACTGTCAGAACTAAATTTGGAGAAACAAAATAGGGAAGGGAGTGAGACAAGGGTATATATTGTCACTGCATGTGTTTAATTTATGCAATGAATATATTACAAAAATGGCAGGATTTAAACAGATGACAACTGAAATCAAAACTGGAGATGACAGTGCTTTCTTAAAAGAAAATAAAGAAGATTAAGACGAGCTTATTATAAAAGTAAAAATGGAAGGTGAACAATCCAGGTTGGTTTTCTAAATTTAGAAAACAAAGGTAATGTTAACCTGCATGCTCAGTGAAATTTGATGGCAAAGAAGTGAAGGTGATAGAAAGTTTTGTATTCTTAGGTTCAAGAATAGATAAAGATGGAGAGTGTGCTGTAGAGTTAAACTGGAGATTAATCCTAGGGATGTAGACCATGATTAACTTAGAGATCATGAAAGATAAGGAAATATTTATGACAACAAAGTTCAGAACAGTTAGAACATTGATCTTTCCAGTGGTAAAGTATGACTGTGAAACCAGAACACTCAGAAAGCGTGAGGAAAATTCGGCACAGGCTTTTGACATGGATCTGGAGATAGTTACTACTATGGACTGGAAGAAAAACCAAATAATGAATACCAGACCAAATAAATATAGTTTTTTCCTTTGTGGTCATCAGTAAGCAAAAACTCACATATTTGGGGCATGTGATATCAGCGGATGCTGGACTAGGATAAAATTATTATCCTTGGCAAGATTGCTTGAAGAAGAAAAAGAAGCCAATGGATAGGGTAGATGGACAGGATCAAAGAGGTTACAGAATTCTCCTTGGAAGAGCCACAGGGTATCATTAGAGACAAGTTGAAGTAGCAAGCGTTTGTCCATGGAGTCACAAATAGCTGAATTACCTACTTGCATTTCAAGGAAAACTCCCATTCTTAGTAAAGGAGGCTTTCTTTCAAATGTGAGTAAAGTCCTCAGAAAGGAACCTTTTGCCCTCCCAGGGCAGAGATTTCTTTGCCCTCCCTCCAATCCACAGTTTGAGCTGTTCAGGCTGCTCAGATGCTGCTATTTCAGTAAAATTGCAAGTTAAGTGCATTCACATCTAGTTTATCACAGACTGACTGCTGTGAAGGCAGCAGTTCTATGATTGTTTCCCATGCCTGATGCATTTCCTATTGGCACAAATCTTAAATATTTACAGCTGCCATAAAGTCAAATCTTCAAGTTAAGCTTGATTCCTGGTGACTTCATGGACACATACTCAGTACGAACCTGCATTTCATACTATTTCACTCCTTTTCCCAGTTCTGTTCTTCAAAATTTACTGTGAGTTTATACTAGCAGTGGGCAAAACACAAACATTTCTGTTCATGCATCTTGACTTAATGCTTGGAGATGAATTGTCACTAAAGTTTGACTAAACCTTGACTAAACATAACTCAAGATACAGAACTTGATTCCTGGTGATTAGAAAGATGCATCCATTTATTTAGGATGAAGAGAAATATGGAAGTGGTTTCCCATTGCCACCTTCTTGTATTTTTTTCAACTTTTCAATCTAGCCTGCCGTCCTGGGAATCCCTGGAGATGCTCATTCAAATGCAAGCCAGACCCAACCATCCTTAGCTTTTAAGCTCAGACAAGATCGACAAAGTGCTGCCACTTAATAACATGATAAAATGTAACCTATCACCCTTGCCCTCAGCTGGATGTCTGAGTTAATTGTGCTGAAATCATAATAGGTAATAGTAGGAAAGATTGAATAAATTCTAAAGATGAACTAGATATTCTGAGTTAGATAGCTGAGTTAGTTATCTGAATATGTAAATTCAGACTCTAGAAAGCTGAAGTTTTCCCTGGTACTGAGGCTTACCCAAAAATTCATTGTTGGGGAAAATCTCATAGCAATATTGTACTGCCCTAAGTATCAAAGCAAGCTGTGGCTAAGCCTTGTTCTCCTCCCACATGTACCTCTTGAGAGATTTCACAGCAAAACTACCTTTGGAAATACCGAGTGCATAGGAAAGATTTGATTTGAGTTCAGAATTGCACTACCCCTCCTTACTTACGCCAAACAATAAAACACAGTCCTTCTCTGAGACGTGATTTCTCACCATTTTTCCCCCCACCATCTGGTACAGTAATGCTTTTTAGCCTGATCTAAAGCTTTTTGCAATATGGAATTCTATGTTTAATTGTTTGACTGAGATTCTGTTTATCCTCATCGTCTTTGTTCTCATTTGTTTTACTCATTTTTTTATGAGTAAAAAATTAGTTCTTGTTTGTGAATGGCAATGACACTATATTTTAAGGAAAAACTCCTAGCTCATTTAAAACGAAGTGAATAACATGCTAATTAATTGTTTGTTTCTTTATATGTTATTTAGATAAGGAAAATGAATTCACATATAAATTATTCTGCTTATTAAGTAATTTTGTAGAATTAAAAAAAGCCTCTCCAAAGTCATATTTAACTTCATTGGAAAAGTTATCATTTAATATGATTCTAAATTAAAACTGAGTGGCAAGAATTGTGTTATACATTGGATTTACTATTGATTTGGCTATACTGTGAGTTCCTTAATTTATGCTGCACAATTAAAAGCCCAGCACAATTGGAAATTTAGAAAAGCACTCCATGGTGAATGCATCTGAATTAAATAGAAAAGATTATTTAACAAATAACTAAACAGCTGAATGGCTAAGCTGCAAGCATAACCGTGATCAAGTTTTAATTTGCCAGTTATAAAACTGAGTATCTGCAAAAATAATGGCAACTTAAGCAAACAACATTTAAAGTCACATCAGATGTTGGCAGCAGAGCCAATCCATTCTGTTGAGCTGAACTGGGAAATTGGTGTCCAGTTTTCCCAGCTACTGTTTGCCCTGCAGTTAAATGTCAGTGAAATGACAGCTTTCTATGAAGACTTATCATGCCCTATTGAATGCTTAAAGTATTAACAGATATTGGAAGACAAAAATTAAAAACAGAAACTTAAAATGAAATACAGAAAATGCTGTATTTCTGTTCTACTTTGTATACTCACTTTGCTTAGAAATAAAATAATTTGAATTTATTTAAAATTATTCTGAGCAAAGTACTGTATTGCTCAGAGTTTTGCCTCTGAAATGCAGAGTGGTTTAATGTAATATGGTCTTTGTTAAAAAAAAATGAGACATTTAAAGAATTAGAGTAAAACTGGAGAACAAAGCAGCATTGTTTAACTAAACCTT